TCTTACCTTGTACCCCTTTACCTCAGCCCCCCCAATCTTACAGAGCAGACATCAAGCCTGGCCAGTTTCTTTCCAATCATCCTTCCTGGAGGACGAATCCTAATAATGTGGTGAACTCACAGTTCCTCTAACATCAGGCCACATTTTCCACTTGTTTACAGGGAATATGAAAATGTACCGTCACACCAAAACCCTTCAGATGTTAATGAGCCATGACTAGTACGCTGCTTGTTCTGTCACATCGGGTGGACTGAACATCAGACACTTGTCGTTCTCCTCAGACTGGTAAAATGTGCCCTTACCTCAATGTTCCAGACACATATGGTCTTTGGGGGGTAGTTGGAGGGGAAGAACGGTGAAGAAAAGGAGCCTCTGTTTGCACTGAGTTTCCCTCCACATCCTGGACAAGAAAACAAGTCACACAGGTCAGACGTGGGAGAGTCGCAGCAAGTCAACTGGGTCCTACAGTGAAGTCACCTCGGAAACTCAGACATTTATTTTATTGCATTTATTCTGTTGTTTTTCATACAGAATTTCATTTTTGAATTAAAACCGTCTACAGCGACAGTGTCATTATTTACTGCTGAGACTTGTTGCAATGCACACAAACAGTTTCTCAACAATATTCATGAAAAATAAGTCACAGTGTCTCAGCAACGTATTTTCACCTCTTTCAGACCCAGTTTAAAGAATGTGTGACAACAAATAAATGTTCCAGAACATCAACACCTCTGGCCACAGTTCAGACTCTAACTCCCATCATACTTTGCTCTGTCAAAGGGATCTGGGAGTAGTTGGCTCTGAACCCGGGGAAGTTCTTCAGCTCACTGGTGACCAGAGTCAGCAACATGACGTTTCCAGAGGACCGAAAAGACAGCGAGCCACGAGGATACCCGCATTGTCTGGGGAGAAAGCAGAAACACACAGCTGTCAGACCCCGAATGCACTGAGAGCTGGTGCTCAGTTCACACTGAAAACGCATGAAAGCAGCGGTAACGCAACATCTGGACCAGACGTGTGTGTGCACGAGCCAGCGCCTCTCTGACTGAGAACTGAACCCTACAGATTTTACCAGATGGTTACAGTCGACTTCCTGATCAAACTGAGAGTGACTTAAGGCTGCAAAGCTGCTTCTCTGTCATCTCTGCTGTAAAGGTTCACACCTGTTTCACCCACACCTGGTAGTGATGTCACTGGAGCAAGGTTACACCAGTTACACCAGTGGAGGCCAGCAGCAGGGAGTGCTCCCTACTCTGTAGATGCTTCTAAAGGCACCCAGTAACCTGTGTGTCGCAAGCTGATAGACACACAAGACAGAGGAAACTCTGGAGCTGGAATAATTCTTTTCATCTTCCATCAAGCCAATTAATCTTACCGAGTCATCATTTATATCTATAAACCTGTGAAAGGTCCCATCACAACTGCCGTTGTGTCCAACCAACCAATCCAAAACCCAGAAAGGTCCAGTTAATGTGACGGAACACAGAGAAACTCACACCGATAAGCGACTGGCGCTGCTGGTTTTTAAAAGACAACTGACTGAATCTATCAGCTCAAAGAAACTGGCACGTCAGACTCGCCCATGTGGGAAAGCAACACGTTTTCTGGGTGATATCTGAAGAAGAAGAAAACCACAGGGTAGCTGTGAGTTAGCAGAGGACAGTGAGGTCCGAGTCGTGTCTCACTCGGTCAGCGCACGCTGCTCTATCGGAGCCAGAGAGTCGTAGATTTTGATGAAGTCCTGCTGACAGTTGTCCTCCAGGATCAGAGTGTGGAAGTTGAGCAGGACTCTGTGTCCGGGGTCGGCCCGCAGCCTCCACTGCAGGTAGAAGTTAGGAGGATAAGGGAAGTCGGGAAACCCTGGAGACTGGACTGTTCCTGCTTCACTGACGCGGATGTTGAAGGTCTGATCTGAAAACACAATAGGTAAAATACAGACCGAGCTCCACCATTAACCACACACCTGGTTAACTAATGCAACTGACTCCATCTGTACTTTCAAACTATTTTGTCTCATGTGGAACAGGACATTAAATGTCCAGTAACTTTGAATTCAGTTTGGTATTATGCAAATGTGGGTAAAAGTTCTGTGATATCTTGGAAATAAACAATTTAAATATGAAAAAGAATTGAGAAAACCATGGAACCTCCATCAGTAGAAACAAACAGTTCTCACTCAGTAACGACGTCCTGGTCATGCGTGGATCTATCGCTGTGAAAAGAAACAAAATCTTCAGTTAAACTCAACTAAATGCACATTTGTAGCTAAAGAACGTCACTTTATTTCCCACAACCCAGTGACTCTGACCCACTTTAAAATCAACCCATTCGCTTCAGGTCTGCTCTCATCGCCACAAACTGTAAACGCTGTGGACAGGCTGACCGTGACAATAAGTCTATCGCCCCCTGGGGGCAGCATAGGTCACAAACCCTGCTGCCTCCATGTTAGAGGATGGGACACAAATGAACTAAAAACTCAAAGAACAAACCAGACAAATATTTTCCAGAGGTGGTTTTTGGCAGACATCATCACAATGATGTGTGTACAAGTAGCCATTTTCCTGGCGAGTTCGTTTTAAATAACTGACTTGATTATATAAAGTGGGGTGTATTTTGGATTGTGTGTCACTCAGCTTCTCCGCTGTTGCTGAGCAGGATCTGGTTGTAAAACACCAAGATGGCAGCCGTCTGATTCATATTTTGGCTTGATTTATGCATAGTGGAGCAAACGCCATGGTGACGCCATGTCCATCATCAACGTATCAGAAGGAAAACACACGACAGCCGGGGTTTTACGATCTGCATGTTTCGGATGCTGCAGCACTAACACACTTCAGCAACACTCACCTGAAGTGTGTGAGAGTTCACAAAGGGAGGCAGAGCAGGGGGCCACAAAACCCGTCTTCATCACTACTCTCAGCTTAGAAAACACGGGCGGACTAGGAGACACTGGGCCCTTGGGCACAGACATAAAGGCCCCCCACCCTCCTACCCTGGGGCCCCACACTGACCCAAAGTGACTACAAATGGCAGCAGTGGACATATTTTCCTGTGAGCTCTCACACCTCGGGAGATGACGCCGTTGACATTCAGAGCATCAGTGGGCCTCAGCAGCACTCGGCCCTGTCGGCCCTGCTGACTTTCTGCCGGCGAATCCAAAGACTCGATGGCTTCGTCCAGAAACTTCTGCTGGGGGACGGGAAGGTCGAACTCTGACTGGTAATACGCCACCATGCCATCACCGCCGTCCTCTCCCTCACTACAGCACAAGAACACAACCAGATCAGTCGGTTTGACACAAAGCAACATCAGTTTTTAAGAGTTCAACATTTTAGGAAATCAACTCCTCCCCTTTGTTTCAGAAAGCAACATGTTCAGGTGGACAGTCTCGTGTCTGCACGTTAGTACACAGCTGGATTCAGGGCATGTTAGCTTAGCATAAACACTGGAAACAGCTAGCCTAGCTCAGTCCAGAGTTCATCTCCAACATCCCCTGGTTAACGTATTGGATAGGTTCGTTTTGTTAATCCTCAGCAGTCTGTGGTTTTGCAAGCAGGTACTCTGGTTTGTAACTTAAGTTAGTTTTTATCAGCACTTCCTGTTCAGATGTTTCATATAAACATTATCGCAGTCAGTGAACGAGACCAGGTGGTGGGTATGAGACACGACTGTTGCTGCACTGGCTGAAATGAACGCTACCGAGTTCATCCTGTGAGATAAGGCGGTGGAGGTACTTCCTCTCCATCCGTGGCTGCTGACTGGAGTTCTACAGTAACAGCAGCCTAATCCTTTAATAAGCATCATGTCCTGTTTCAGCTTTAACAGCCGCCCTTCACATATTAATACGTAACACATACATACGTCTTATGTGAGTCGTACCTGAAGGCCTGCACCGTGGAGCCCGTGAAGTACCTGGCCAGCACTGCATTTTTGTTGTAAATCAGTTTCAGCTGAAAGAGACAAAGGTCACACATATCTTCATATCTGCCTAATGTCATCACAGTCACCTCAACAAATACAGAACTGTGGAAAGAGCACGAAGCAGAAGTGGTCAGAGCCAACATGAACGCCACAGCTCAGACTCTTTCACTGAACCGAGACAAACTCTGATCCAGTACTGGATACAACCTAATACTGCAGCCCAGCGCTAGTGCTAGCTCAGCTGCCTTCGTTCAGTCACGTGACCTGGCCTCTCGCACGTGGAGTGGTCCTCTGAGAAGGTAAATCCCAGTTTCCTTATTTGAGCTTTCCTCACTCAACACAGAAGTTGATCTTATTCCTGCTATGAGGAGACGCGAGACCATTCTCACAGTATTTACGGACCAACGCAGGCCTTTAATGAATGTGGGCGGGACTAAGACACAAGTGATGAAAACATGGGAGTTGGGATTTACCCAGTCTCCCATGAGTCAGCAGATGTGGAGAACTCCCATGATGCTCTGGGACTGTGTGAGGTCTCACCTGCTGGCTGACCAGAGCGGCCAGATGGGTAAATTGAGGACTGCTGGGATCTTCGTATTCGGGCAAGAAGGGCTGGTTATTGATCCCCATGGAGCCGATGTAAACCCTCGTCATTCTGACATCACTGCGTACTGAGGGAGAGAGCAGACAGAGGTTACAGTCGGCTGACGTGTCCTGTTCTGTTCTGGTGACCTGGGGGTCAACATCCTCAGACACCAGAGGTACATCTTTTATGAGATTGTTCCTGTGTAGGACATTCCGAGTCTCCTATATCGGCTTTGAGGAGCGAGCACTGAGGACGGTGCTGGAGGAGCCATGAGACCATCCTTCATGGAGGTTTTTGATGAACCAACACGCACCTTTATCAGAAATCAATTGGTGATTGGACAGATGAAGGATCAGAGAAAAGGACGTCTCATGGAGTTAACGCGTTTCCTCAAGTCCTCTTATGTGGGCGGGACTAAGATGCAAGTGAGGGAAACAAAGTGCTGATAAGAGACTTGAGATGTGTCCTGTGTTCTGACTCAGCAACAGCTTCACTGTGAAGGTCGGAGGACCAGACAATGTCCTCACCGCTAACGCTGGGCCACACACCAGCTCCAGCCGGTGTGTGCCGTCTTGCAGAGACTGTCCGAGTCTCTGTCCAGCAGCTGGCTCCTGGTAAACTGGCTGCTAAAGCAAACAGGCAGCCCTTTACCTCCACAGTTTCATTTAGAGATGCACCGGTGTGGCTGTTGTGCCTTAAGCAGATCAGATGTCTCTGATCGACCCTGTTCACAAACTACAGTTTAACTGTTTTTCTTGCTCATTTACTTTGTGTATACGTTACCGTCATGAATATTTTTATGTTTTGGGGCTAAAACTATATATTTAATGTATAAATCTGAGCGTGGAGCAGGAGTGTGATCATGCTGCGACACCTGCAACACAAACTGTGACTGGCTGTTGTTGTTATACTTTACAACAATAATGCATTGGGTTATTTATCTTCTCCTCAAATAATAAAGTGCAGTTTTTTTCTCTCTGGACTTTTCTGTTTATGCAGCACAGTGTGTGTGTGTGTGTGTGTGTGTGTGTGTACACATGCTTTGCAGGGAGGTCCAGCTGCTGCAGCCGGGGGCATGTGGAAGCAAAGGGCTGAGGGTGTGGTCCCTGCTGCACCTTCACAGCAGCAGAACAATGATTTGATTCACTTCCACATAGAGAAGGTTAAAGGTTTTAGTGCTGCCGTCACTATGAGTTGACCTGAGTCTGTATCAGGGAAGAAGAAGTTGACATGTCATTTCTCTGTGCAGAGATTAGACAATGCAAACATGGCTAACAGTTCCTGACTGAAACCAACGGGCTTCCATGTCCAGCCTTCAAAAAGCCACATCACACTACACCTATCGGTGTAATATGGACACGTACCCCGCCACCGATAACAGGACACAGCCACTTTCACTCCTGCCACATATCAACTAGTCTGTGGTGACTCAGCTCAGCTCCCAGTGCCTGAACAGGAAGCTGAGAGAACCCAGTGCATGTGATTGACCTTCACCCAGTGTTTAGATAAAGCCAGCTCACAGTGGAAGTTCCAGACCAGCAGCCCGGTCAGCAGCAGGCCCACTCCGACCCACAGCGTCCTCCTCTGGCCCGGTTTCTTCTCCAGCTTTTTGGAGTCTGAGGCTGGCAGGAACTCAAGGGTCGGGTCCCAGTCGTTGTCCTGGAGACAGAGAAGGGGTGGGGGGGGTCAGTTTGTTCATTATTCTCCTACAGGGTTCTGTCTGCTCATGTTGCTCTGGACTGTACCGACCAACACCACCAGCATCAGCTGCCTGGTGACAGGTAACAGAGAAATGGGTCATTAGCTGAATTAACCCTTTATGCCAACATTTACTAACCACGGCCCGACTCTACCGGGGAAACGCAGACTCCACTGAAGTAAATGAGAGAAGCTGGAGTTTCTCTCAAAGTCTGGACATTTTTTCACAAGGTCTTCACCTCTAAGACCACTGACACACCTACCTTCCACCAGCACATACACACAGACAACAGTTGTGTCCCCGGTGTCATTGTTCATTTGCTTGCATAGTTGTTTACCCAGATGATTAGAAAATACCAGGCCGCACATCTTCCTAGTTCTACTTCAGCACAACGTAAACAGAAACCATGACAACAGAAGTTGTTGGGGAAGTTACAGTATTGTCGATGCTGAGAAGCAGCAGGTGGTTTGTCAACAGGACAAGCTCCGTGCACTTCTCTCCAAAGCTCGAGGCCCCTGTAGGGTGGATCCAAGCTGCTGCTGACCTGAGTTTCAGCCCCTACTGGTCACATGCTGAACAGCATTAGTTTCTGAGGACGTGCACGACCAACAGTCCAGGGGGACAGAGACACAAACACAAAGTTAAAGGCAGCTTAGCGTTCCTTCTGATGTGAGCCCTGAGGGAAGCAAAGACTTCATGTCTGCTTCACTTACAGCCTCAGATCCATTCACACCAATCTGAAATAAGATCCTCTTATGCCCGTGCACCGGCCAAACCCCGAGGCTTTAGGTTTTCAGATCGTCCATCTGTCACAGTCTCTGTTAATTCTTTTCTCTATTAATCGATTAGTCAAGGAAAGGTCAGAAATATCCATCTCAGTTTGTAGTGACATCGATAAACAGTCTCAAACACCAAGTTTACTATCGTGGAAAATAGAAATGACTTATGTTGGAGAATCTGAACCCAGAGCACAGACATCTTCTTTAAAGCGACAAACCGATTAATTAGATATGAAAACAGTTTCAGACTAATTTTCTGTGGATTGACTAATTGATGACCAGACACTTGAAGACACCTTGGACCTGGACTGTCATGGGCATTTTCAATGTTCTCTGACATTGTACAAACCAAATGATCAGTAAATAATTCCAGCCCTGAACTGCTGCTGACCCAGCTGTGTGAACCTGTTCCACTGCGTCACAGTGACAGAAACGTCTTTACTACCGATCCACGTTCCAGGTCTGCTGCACTGGTATTCACCCCGTTTCCCAGTAAAGGCAACCAGTGACACAGGCTGGTCAGCAGCTCATTTAACGCCCTGCAGTTTGACAAACAGCTCCAACGCACCACATCCAGTTTGTTTTGTGTCTGACACCTGCTGTGTTTTACTGGAATCCATCACAAACTGGTCAGCAGTAACCCCGCCTGTGAGCCACCAGTCGGGGTTTACACTACCTCTCATCATATCACCATTAAAACCAGTCCAGTGTGCTGTGGAAACCAGTGCAGCACCGAAACTCACTTCACATTATGATTATTAATTCCTTCCTCACATTCAGTTTAAACGAGAACCAGTTTTTCTGCTCGGTTTCTGTTGTTAATCCCAGGTGACACTGAAAAACCTGTACGGGCTCTGACGTCACAGCCAGCGTAATGCCACAGGTATGGACTCACCTGTCTCGGAGTGAACTTCTGTCCTGAGTCCAGTGAATCCATGATGCATTAAGTCCCGCTGATGGCCCCTGTTCTCCGTCTTACTCCGTCTCCACCGCCGTTTATCTCCGGTTTCCTGACGGGGGACCTGCTGCCATTACTGCCCCGCTGACATGGCGACGACAGGTGTTTCTATCTGCAGGTATAAGCCGAAATGTGTCGAGAAACACGGGTTGAAAAGTGAGTTAAAAGGTAGTTTCTAACTCTGGGTGTCGCTCCGTAACGGGCTGAAACAGGTAAATCAGCGGCGGATCCAACGGGAGCTCGGCTCTGAAAGGGACCGGCAGGTGTGGCGACCTGATCACAGCCCAGAGAGAACTAACGAACGTACACTGGTCGCAGCAGGAGCACACCTGAACCTGCCAACTTCCCGTCATTCTTTGCGCGACTGAAACCGCGCCTTGTATTATACCCCAGGGAGCAACCTTAACAGCTACTGACAGCTGACAGATGAATGGAAGTTGGAACCAGATGTTATTCCAGGCCAGATGTTCCCTCATGAGGTGTTTTGATGATGGTGGTGGAGACGCTGTCTAACACGTCGCTCCAACATCTCCCATAGCTGTTCAACTGGGCTGAGACCTGGTGACTGGGAAGGCCACAGTGTCTGGTTCACATCATGGTCATCCTCATCAGACCAGTCAGGGACCCCGGGTGTCCTGTGGATGGGGGGGGGCACTGTCATCCTGGATCTGCTGTGGCCTGTATCAGTGGTCATGGGTGGGGACTGGTCCTGTATGTCTGCTGTTATAATGATCATCTCACCTGCAAAGACATGAGCAGACTCACAGCTGAGGAGCTAGCAGCCCCGGCTTACATGAAACAGGATGTAATGACTGTCACTGACTCTGCAAATCAGAAGCCTGGGCCAGAGGATCACCAACTCCATCCCACAAACTTCAAGTTTAAGAAGTGTTTTCCAGCAGCATCTTTAAAATCTCCAGAATCACATGTATCAGCAGTACTTTTGTCCAAAGAATAAACTTTTGTCGCCTTCAGAAGTTATAAAACATCCACCAGTTATTTTTTCTGTCAGTAGACTTATTGACAGTTTCAGCTGCATTTCAGTTCCATTTATAACAAAACATCTTTGATAACTTCTCATATACTGTGGATGCAAAGATCCTAATTTGTCAAGTAACTAAACGTGCCAAAGAAATGTAGTGGAGTAAAAAGGATAAAGACAATTCTCCAGTGAAGTAACAGTTTGTACAGTACTTGGATGAATACATCTGATAACACGGCCCAGTACTCCATGAGCTACAGGGAGGGTGTGGATGTCGGGGGGGCAGATCAACCTTCAGTTTGACGTTGACCATACTGAAGCTGCCGCACAGATAGTTTTATAAACATCATGAACGTTTGCAGAGCCACCTAGTGACCGTCCTGCTTGTCTGGGCCGTGAAAACACATCAGTGGTTTACAGCTGCTTTCGGATGCAGGTGGCTAAAGGTCTTTTCATGCAGGTTTAATTTGTTCCTTTAAATGTTGACCTCAGCAAGTGAGAACCTGACTGGATACAGCCCCAGAAGAACACACAGCGCTCCAGGTTCTGGTTTCTGTCGACTTTATTAGTGGAATGGAATATACACCTGTGTGCTTTAATGCAGTTTTCTCCTTCACTCACTCATCACGTGTCACTGCCTCCGAGACTGAGCATCACTGTCATGAACGGCGTCTGAAATGCTGCTTATCATCTCAGTAGAGCCCAGTTTATTACTGGGATCATTTATTACCACTGTGCTTTGTGGTGTTTGCCAGGCAAATGCACTTTGTTGTTCACCTTTAACCTGAAGGACAGGACATGATCCAGTGACCTTCGGATGTAAGGACAGCTGCTCTCCTGCAGCATAAGCAGCACGTCAGACAAACAACTGAAACGTTCTCAAAATAAAAACATGCTCGGCAGTTAAAAAGCTCAACAATGCCTCAGTCATATTTTAACAAACTCATTCAGTTCCATGTGTAACTTTGGTTCTATGGACGCGAAACAATATGCAACACCTGGACAGCCAGTGTCTGAGGTGGTCAGGAGACAAAATGCAAATCTGAAACATCGGGCTCATCCGACGGGTTGAAGAGTCTCTGCAGCAGAAACTGGCTCCAGAGAATCAACAGATCCCAGTAAAGTGCAGTCGAGCCATGACTCCCCATCTTTACCCACACAACTCTAATTTAACGTCACTGTGCACCATCACCTATGCTGGATTTTCAGCAATAACAAAAGTAAATTACAGTTTCCTGTAATTTCCTTTAAAATACGCTAAATTTAAAAAAACCCTAAAAATGTAGAACAAAGTTTGCTAAACTGACAGAAATCTGCGGTTGAAGCTGTGTTTGTATGGAAAGCCAAAGGGGACATAAACTAGGTACTTTACCACAACATCATTTTAATAATAATAATAATTCCAATACAATTGCTTCTGTTCAAATTAAATGACCTAAAACAAAAAATTGCATTTCTGAATTACTGTATTAACCTACTAACAGCAGGCGACTTTGAGCCGTATCTGGCCAAACTCTAAACACTGATGAAGACTGTGGGAAGTGGTACTACTTCGATTAGTATTCTAGTTTTTCCAGTAATTTGACTGGTAAATAAAGCAGATGGGGAGAAGAGGCCGAGCGGGAGCCACAGCTACAGGGTGAATGAAAACATCACAACAGTAGAAGCATTTTAGAAAACGTGCCAAAGACTTTAAACAACAGACAGACTGCTCAGTCTCCTCTCGCAGCTTCTCTTTAGCCTCCAGAAGACAACAGGTAAAATACCTACAACGGTATCCATGCATATTTGTGACTGCTCATCATACAAACACACACATTCATACAAACACACACAAGCACCTGCCTGTCCACACACACTTTGCATTCTGGCGAGGAACATGCCTGAATGATTTTTATTTCTGAAGTTCATTAATATAATCTTTATTTCTTCTCAGTAATCTAATGTACACGTCTCGTAGTGCAAACACTCGTTTGGAAAAACCTGGGGACGGAGGGAGGATGAGCAAAACAAACCAACAACTGACAGGAGAGAATAAAGTAAGAGTCGTCATGCAAAAGAACGGATGATGAGATCTTCCTCGTTGCATTGTATTTTTTCTTGCTTTTTCTCTGCTATGGTTGATAAGTTCCTACGATCAGTAGTGCTACTTCTACTGCACGAGGCTCATGCACAGATGGAGGCCAGTCAGACGCCAGAGGACTTCCAACTCTTTTTTTTGTTTTTTTGGTTTGAGGGTTCGATTGGAAGATGCAGGTCAGAGATTATGATACAAAATATGTTACAGTATGTACGTCTTGTCTGCTGTCACACGTGCTTCTGAATGGTCGAGGAAACGCTTCGCCAAAATACTCACAGGAAGAGTCAGGTGAGGCCGATGGCGTGCACTCTTAAGGAAGGATGTGCAGCTTTTAACACATCTAAGATTCTAGGCAGAGGTGACACCTGTGCAGGAACAAATCATCTGCAGGAGGCAGCGCCTGCATGACACTGATACCACATATTCTGTGTCAGCAGAAACATGTGCTGTCCTTTTTCAAAGGTTTCTACCTTTAGTCTTTCTGAGAACCGCAAAACGATGCCAGTGTTTCATCACAGGCTGTAGATGAATCTGTGCTGTTGGCCACAATAAAAAGGCTGCCATCACTGCGGTGGCCTCAACCATTAAACTCACAATAACTGTAGCCGTGAACCGTGACCCGGAGAGCCGGGGTACCACTGAATAACTTTTAAACTAGTTCTTAATCCCATTAGAGCTGACAGTTCGACGTCTTTTCACTTCCAGATCACCAAAACCACACCATGCTACCAGGCTCTGCTCTCATCGGTTGTTCCAACACTAAACCTTACATGTGAAGAGTAAAATAAACCTGACCAGACTCTTGGAGGTGAAAAGATTTCTGGCTGTCTCTGAAATCATTTGGACTAGATTTTCTATACAAAGTTTCTCCTCTGGAAGCCTGGTGACCTGCTCACAAGCCTCCTTGGTGAGCAGCTGTAAGCTAACTGCTAACACATTAGCCAGTTAGGTGTTAGCCTAGCTGGTCAAGCTAACTGGTTACCGGGCAAGGATGCAGATTTGCTTGTCAGAGTTCATAACAGCTGAACTTGATGCAAATGATGGAAAACACATGAACTATAGATCTCAGTGTTTCCTGTGGATCAAGAGGTTTGGCGGGGGGTCAAGGTCCAGCCCCGGTGGAAGCTCTGCCTCTCTCTCTCTATGAGGTGAACAAACCCCTAATAATTATATGGTTTAATAAGAGTGAGTTAGTTTTCAGTAACAGTTATAATAATAAAAAATTTAGTCAGTTTATCATTCAACAAGAAAAACCTTGTGGGAGTTGCATCTGCTGAATGTTCACAAAATAAAAGTTTTATATTTCATACTGCTGAGATGTCCAGATTACACCGCCCAGTCCGGCAGCAGATACTCATTTATGTCAGAACGTGGACATAAAGACTAAAGGAAGAAACTGAGAAAACACAGAAGGTGTGAAGCTTGTGGATCAGAAGCTGGACTGGACTTCACAGGCGCCCATAGGTCGCCGCCTGCAGGCCAGAGCAGCGGGCTCGTCAGTCGACGCTGGCAGAGAAAAGAAACAGCAGCTTGTTTCTTACATTGCCACCACTTGGGTTTTCATGATACACGTCATTGTGGGAACCTGTCAGCCCTGTTGTTGTAACAACAGTAGTTGTTCATGCACAGCATCAGTGATACTACGGCAGCAGTAATACTGCAACATGCCAACATCTGCACGCGGCTCTTTAACGAGCGTGTTGAAAACAGAGTGCACGTCATCAGGACAAACATCTCTTTAATGTTAGAGCTTTGGCGCCGTGTTTCCCTTTCCTGTTTAAATCTATTGCACAATGTTTTGTTCTCTCTCACTGAAAAGGTCACGTCACAGATGAGTTGCTTTACATTTTGTTCCCTGCAATAATCATTGTTTTAAACACGCACATTATTATTGGTATTATTATTATTCTGTTCATTTGTTGATGCTATTTTCCTGCTTGCTCTAACATTGCATATTTTGAAAAGTAAAAGGCTTTTGTTCCCGGTCTGGGCTACAGCCAGTTCACGTCAGACCATGTCGATCCAGTCCAGGATCCTTCGTTCCTCTCCACAGGTCCATTTAGAAAACCAGGAAGGCCCAGTTCTGCACAGACCAGCTCGGTTTGGCCCAGGTCGGCTCCTTCGAGTTGCGTTCAGCTCAGTGTAGTTGTGTGAACAGTATTGAGGCTCAGCATAGATCAGGTAGTCCCAGTTCAGTCTGGTTTATGTGGTAGATTCAAGTGTTTCAGCAGCTTCGAAATCATCATCTGAAGACTCTGACAGTTTTCCAGCTCTTGTGACTGGACACTGAGAAAAGCTCAAAACTTCTCATTCAGAATTTCTTTACTCGCCCAACGATGTGACCTGAAGTGGCTTCAGGTGCAGAGAGGAGACCAAGACGTTATGCTTTTCATTGTCTTCACAGACTTCATCCAACATTTTTTCTGCAGTCAGGCTTTAAGGATCCGTCCGAAGCCCGCCTGGTGTGTCCACTCCTTGCTTGAGCTGTACTGGTCCTGATAATAGTCACAGGTTTCCCACAACCACCAACATCAACACTGTTAGACTGGTTACAACCAGCGGAGTCTAAATGATCCTTCAACGGTCGGCGCTCCCTCGGATTCGCTGCCAAGACCAACATATTAACTAGACCTAAAAAGACGACCCCCATCCTCGGCCATGATTTTGCATCCCTCCTGTAAAGTGTTGTGTTCAGATGGAGCCAGTGAATCCGATCCATCTGTTGGTTTCTGAATGTCATCCTGTAGAAGTCCTGGGATCTTTTCCACTGTCAGACCAGAAGGAAGCCTGTGCAGGGTCAGACGTGTGCACAGGGTCTTAGACTTAGGAAAGTCTACAAAAGAACAGCTATCGTTCCTTTTAAAACTCCTCACCTCTCATCGTTGCTTGCTTTGTCTCCTACATGAATATCCATTTTGTCACATAATCCACAAGAGGTGACAGGAAGTGAAAGTAACCGGCGGTACTCAGAGTACCCACCCATGTCGTCTTTTCCTACCTCCAACACTTCAGCTAGCAGCACCCCTCGCTCAACATAAAGGTTCAATGAAAGTTCAGAGTTCACTGGAAAGGTGACAGGCGGGGCGGCAGGGTGGGTGTCGGGGGCTGGTCAGAGGTTATAAAGAGGAGATTTTGAAGGTGTCATGGGTGTAGGCGGTGGCCCGAGTATTGCGCAGGATGCCAGGGATGGGAGCGGGTGATGGGGGGAGGCTCTCGTCAGGTGTGTTGGCGGGCGGCGTTGGGGTGCTGATGATGGCGGCGGTGAAATCGTGTTCCCCACAGTTCAGCTTCAGGTCGCCTGCCTGGGCATTCAGACTGGAACGACTGGGGACAGAGAGAGAAACATGATAAAAGAAAGCAGGCGAGCGGAAACTGATTCGTTAAACGAACAAAAAGTAGAGAAGCAGAATGAAACGCTGGCTGCCTTTCACTGATTCCTCCATAACATCTTTTAAAAGATCTATTTTTAATTGTGTTAGGTCTTAAAATGTGAGGTGATGCAGACCCTCGTGGATCTATTGGTCCATATTTAAAATCGGTTTCTCTCCGGTCTCACCTGAGAACAGTTCACCGCACACTTTATTCCAGCTTTGTGCAGGTTTGGCCTGGTTCAGTTTGACATTGGTCTATTTAACTAAATGTAAAGTGGTAAGTATAGAGTGAGTTATCTTAAAGACCAGGTTCTGCTGTACAACTTGTCTTTTCTGCTGTAAAACGTGGTGAACACCAAGGCTCTGCTTTTGGTCCTCTGGGCTTTTCTGGGTATTTTAAATCTCTTGGACAAATTCAGTGGTTTATATTCAAGCTCCGTGAGTTTCCCAGTGTGTTCATCTGTTTGTCTACTGTTATTTATCGCTATCGCTCCAGCAGTAAATTTATTCCTCTTCAGTAAGTTGTGTTGCTGTTTACGTTTGCTGTGGTATGGAGGTGGGTTTGATGTGCAGGGTGTCCAGCTCCTGGATGCTGCCCCGGCTGACGGACACTGTGGAGTTAGCCAGTCGCATGGCGGCTCTCCTCCGGGCTCGGCGGGGGCAGCAGCCCGTCGCCCCCTGCTGGCTGGACAGGGAGGTGCTGCGGCTGGTCCTGAAGCCGACTGACTCGGTCATACACAGCTCACTGTAGGTCATCTCGTCTGTGAACTCATGGTTCTGTGAGGAGAGGGAGAGGAGGGAGGTCAAACTAACAACACGCTGCCTCTGTCTCATTTCAGTGGTTTATGTCAGAACAGGGAAGAGGAACACACGAAGAGGATTTGCTCCTTTGACACTGTGATACAGGCTAGCAGCTGTAGGAGTCGGAGAGATGGATTCAAGTTACTGAAATAAATCTCTCAAATCCTTTGTCAAGATTTGCATTGTTGCACTGTGGATAAACAGCTTTACTGTCAAAGCTCATGGCAATGTTTGCACAGAAGCAGCTTTTTATTTTTGGCTGGTGACAACTGATTTTGATAAATTGGTAGTATCAGCTAATCCTAGCTCGCTAATTTACACTCATCCCCAAAACACACTTCATCAGTGAGTCCTAACCCTGATAAAACACACCACTTCAGTAAAGCGCTGCACTAACACGGTGCTGCTCGTTCATGTCTGTTTTTCAACAGAGGTCATAAGAGTCCGAGCCTACGTGCTCCTTATGTTACTGCCCTATAGTCCCAAGGCCAGTTGCAATACAACACCAAAGCTGCTGCTTTATTTCCATGTTGTCTACATGGATTCATAGGTGAGGATGTGACCTCTTACCTTTTTACATGAGCCTCAGTGTTTTTACATCCTTCAGTCAGCAGAACATCGACAGTCACACTGTAAATAAGCTTAAAACTGTGTTTACTCTCACTACACAGTCATCCTGATGATCCTGCTGGTGAAGCCCGACTGATACAGGACTTTTGATGCTGATACTGGTATTTGGATAACGATGTATCTGAGGAACGCCCCTAACTCTACAGATGAAACCTGCCTCTGGAGCACAAGCTACTGAACGGTGACGTCATTTCAAAACATTTCTTTGGCATTTGTGTTCTTCAATTTGTTGCCATTTATCAGTTGACATATACACTGAGACTGACCGACATCCATAACGGCCTAATATCGGACTGATGTATCAGTCCAGATGTATCAGTCCAGATGTATCAGTCCGGATGTATCAGTCCGGATGTATCAGTCCAGTTGTGGTCCAGTTCATAAAACTCACGTTAGAGCTTCTGCATCTGTTCCCTAAGCATGAAAGGTAAAAATAAACTGGAACAGGAAATGAAGAGAGTTCAGGAATCATGTTTACATTAAACCTGTTTGTGCAGGTACAAAAATGCTGAAGGTACCAGTGTGTGTGTGTATGTGTGTGATACACAGTCTGACACACGAGAGCTGAAACCAGCGTGTTCTGCAGCGGCAGTGTGAGTCCCCACCGTTGTCTTCTCCAGGCAGTGCAGCAGGTGGTGGTGTTGATGCTCGAATGCTGATCTGTTCTTCACACACAGAGCCGTGCAGTCGCTGTCCCGGTCCTGGACACACACACACACACACACACACACACAGGGGTTAAAACTGTATTACTTCACTCTCAGTCACAAAAGGCCCAGTCAGACAAGTACATTTGACAATAGTTCTATATTTTTACTTAGGTATAATTTTGAACTCAGGGTTTGTTAGACTGTGGTATTTGTACCGTTACTCAGAACAACCTGTAGGTATCGAGGTGTGTCTCCTGGAAGAGGCTTCTTCAAGATTTTTACTTGGGTATAGTTTTGAACTCAGGGTTTGTTAGACTGGTATTTGTACTGTTACTCAGAACAACCTTTAGGTATCGAGGTGTGTGTCTCCTGGAAGAGGCTTCTTCATCAGGTAGACACAGTCAGGACAATCCACAGAGACAGAGACAGAAGGAAAAGTCCTACTGAGAGTCACCAAACTAAACTGCCAACACTGCTTTGACTCTGCTGGAGGCTGCTCGACACTGATCCGGCCTTTCTTTTTAATCCGATCCCGTCCAGCTCTCACGTTCGTTCTCCGCTCAACTGATCTCTCATCTCTTCCTCCCACCCTGCTTCTTTTCTTTCCTCCTCTCCACCGGTCTCTTCCTCGTCTTCATCTACCTGGTTGGCGCCGTGTGTCAGAGTAGAGGCAGAGATGACACAAACCCGCTGACCCTCCTCTTCCTCCTTTGCACCACTCACCCTCCTCTTCATCCTCATTATGCTCTGTAAATCCAGTAGTCATCCTTCTGGCTTGCTCAGTGCTGAGGAGGGATTAAGACTCTACTCTGTCAGCGTGCACGTGTGTGATCCATCATCTCTGTGAAACTTAACCCACTTTTCTGACAAAATGTTTAAACTTAGAAAAAAAACAGAAAAAGTCGTGATGAAGCTGAAAGATGAAAATGAAACGAGTTCGTGTGACCTTCATGTGGCTTCACCTGCATGTTCACAGTTTATTCTCAGAACATGTGGGTTCAGTCATCGTGTGTGTACTGTCCCTGCTGAAGGCCACAGACAAACACGGCCAGACTCTACCATTCTTGTGAGAACCCAGGCAGCGGTATTTTGGATAAGTCGGAGCTGCTCAGCTGATTCTGGGGCGGGTCACAATAGTCCAAATAAAGGCTTTGCTATGTTATGATAATGAGAGGAAAAGGTCAGGCCCGAATCAAGAATCAGCCCTGGATTCAGGCCTGTGGTGCACGGTGCACGTCCACGTGCTTCTGGCTTTGTGGTTTTAAGGTGAACATGACCTCACGCCTCCAGCTGGGTCTGACTTGTGCTACCTCAGCTCCGTAGCTCATTGTAGAGGAACCGTTCATCTTGTATCAGTTTATCTGACGCAGCCTGAGGTAACAGGAAGACGTGGAGCGGGGTCACCTGTGACCTTGCTGGTGGGCCCCATGCCTCGCGCTGCCATCTCTTCATTTCTGTGTCTGAGTCTGTCTCCCCTCCTGTTCCCTGCCATTCGGCTGGACTGTAATCCACCCTCCTGTGTGTGTGTGTGTGTGTGTGTGTGTGTGTGTGTGTGTCTCACCCCGAGCACTCGGTCTTCTTTGTACTGGAAGAAGGCGTTGACTGTTCCTTTCTTTGCCATGCGGATGCGAGCCAAACGCACTTTCTGTTGGACAGAAACACAGGGAAGCAGCATCGTCAGCACATCTCACACACACACACACACACACACACACGCGGCACTAAAGTTACAGCGAAGCCCGTCACATTTCATCTTTCTTTAAACCCAATGCTGCATAGCTCCTTCCTGAGTGGGTAGAAATCCTTATCAGCAGCTGTAGGGTGGAACATTTGAGCAGGGAGAGAGAGACACAGAAGCCTGGAAGCCTTTCTGACAGCGACGGCCTCAGAGCTGCGGTCACATCAGGTGGCATTGCTAGGCGCCGACGCCTGCAGACACGTTGCGTAAAGATGGAGTTTGTTGGTGTGTGTGTTTCTGTGGGAGGCGGTCGTCCTCAGTAAACATTACAGATACATGAGTATTTAATATGTGGAATGATGAAGCTGTCAACATGTGATTTAGGTAAGAATACAGATAATAATACAGAATCTGAGCAAACATCTAGACGAGAATAGGAAGGCAAAGAAAAGGTAAAGAGAAACTCAAGCTGGACTAATATAAAGGCTTGGAACAGCAGCGGGGGGGTAGCGCTGTGTGTCAACATCAACACCATTATGAACAACGTGTTGAAGCAGTTAACTGTCGTCGTACTGCCAGAGAGAAGACTTCACCTGGTCTGTTTCAAACATAAAGGTGACAACACTACCAACTCAAAGTGAAGGATTTCGTTAAGAAGGAAAAACCAAAGGAATTGAACCCGTTCCATCCGTTTTCTGTGGCCTGTCAGGAGTCTGGTCACGGCGGCAGCAGGTTAAATGGTAGCTCAGACGTCTCTGTCCCCAGCAGCTTTTTCCAGCTCGTCCTGGGGGATCCTGACACATTCCCAGGCCCAGTGAGATACTTGACCTCTCCAGCATGATCTGGGTCTACCCTGGGCCTCTCGCCGACTGGAGGAGCTCTGCATCTTCTGATGCATCCAGCAGGATACGGATCAGACACTTGACCTGCCTGTCAACTCTACTCTGAGCTCCCTCCAGATGCCCGAGCTCCTTACCCAGGCTCCAAATTAACCCTGAATTATAAAAACAGCAGATCCTATGTGACTTATCTCTGCACCTGTGTATCGGACTAGAAGATGGAGATGTACAACAAATTCATCACATTCAGAGAAAAACGGCCTGCCCACTGACAAAGAAAACTAAAAGGTGGATTAAAGGAAGGTGTGTGACCACACCCTCATGTAAAACACCTGGTGTAGAGCCACTGCTGACTTCTTTGTCAGTGTGTCGGGTGTCGACCTGGCCGTGGTACTGACGGGCCGACTGGACTGTGTTGTACAGTATATGGACTGAGGTTTGGACCTGACCTGATGTTTTTATGTGTTCATCTACAGATGTTTGACGTATTTGCATTGTGATGTTTAAGTCAAACTAACTCCCAGTGGCTGACTGATCCTACAGCCGCCACCATAGTTTGAAAGAGCCGCCCGACCTGCTGTGCTCTCATCTTGTCCGCTCTCTGGTTCTGGTGGTAGATCCGGCTGAAGTTGGACACGATGACGGGGACCGGCAGGGCGATCACCAGCACGCCGCTCAGAGAGCAAATCGAACCGAAGATCTTCCCTGCGATGGTTTTGGGAACCATGTCGCCGTAGCTGCAGGGAGAAAACACAGTCACAGCATCAGTCAGCATCAACACAACGGTGAACCAGTAACTGTCCATTCATCCATTATCTGTACCGCTCAGTCCCGAACGGGGTCGAGGGGACCAGTAACTCTAATACAGTAACTATGTCATGACCTTATTCTCATATGGTCCATTCTGCAAAATGACAACATCTAGATTCTGATAAAACCTTTGGACTTATTGTTAGTGATACTTTAAATAGGAGGTTTATCCTCATCATACTATGTCTGTACTACAGCAGTGATACTTTTAATTAAGGATAAAAATCATACACACCCTGAAAATGTGTTGGTGAGCAATAACCGAGCTGGGCGGATGAACGAGTGGACGGCTCGACGAACACATGCTGATGTGAGACGTTTTTAAATGCTGCAGATCTCACTGGCACTGTTTGCTGAAAAGCTGCGTGCACACAGTTCCGGTTGTTGCCTCTTGTGGCCTTCAGCTTTCATTGTACAGAGCCATAAATCAGGGAGATGAGGAGGAGGCCGGGACGGTTTGTGTGATTCTGCTCAGACATGCTGAGCTAAGAAAACACTTTACAGGTGCTGATCCACGTTTTGCTCAAGAAAACACTGAACAGCAACGTTACGTCTCCAGAAGGAGACACCGCAGAGGACGGAGCATCAGGTAGTGACATCACACCAGTGGACACGTGGGTGTGTGCTGACAGGTGAAGTTTCAGAACAGTACAAGGTACTGACAGGACATCCACCTACAAAGACCCGACTCTGAAAGCGGAACCCGTGGCCAAGATGTCTGGGTCCAACCCTGTGCCGGGCGTCGGCTCTGAAAGAAAGCCTGAACCTCCTTGTGATGAAATAGAGCTTCCTGTGGCTGATACACCACACCTGATCAGGTGGAAAACAGTTTGATTTTAAAATAAATGAAGGTGTGGGGCTGCACATGGCCCCTGAACCACACTTTGGATCCTTCTTTTAAGGGTTTTTTTTTCCTGAGGAAACTAAATTCAGTGTTTTTTAAGACTGTTCAACACCCTGACTCAGTCTGCAGTAAACACTACCACAGGGGGGCGCTCTCACTGCACCTTTCCTCTTTTTGGAAAACACTGGTGATGCAGGTACACAAGCTAAACATATACTGAGTTATTAGCTAGAACCAGTTTGGCTGCAGTGAAGCTGTAACATCACAGTCACAGACGATGAGGTCACATGTCATCCCACACAGTTCCTCTGTCATGGGGACACTGGGAGCCAACTGGGAATGAAACTTTCTGCTGAGGCTGCTTGATTATTCCTTGTACTTGGCACCAGAGTGTGACTTCTACCAAGGTTTCCATGACCCCTTAAATCCTACAGACATTAAGTCAGTTTCCAGTTTTACGATGCCCACAGGACCCGTTCTCCCAGTGATTAAACCATTTAGTGTGCGTCTCATTGTGGACTCCACATCCAGATGTGTGATCACCTCAGACGGTGCAGCAGATCAGACACCTGGCTAATGAAGTGTGGGTCTCTGCAGAGGATTATGTGTTAGTCGTTCAGAGAAGGCCACCGCCCCGTCGGCTCTGTTAATGCTCGTATCTGTGTAACATGCTTCCGTTAGACTCTCGAGCTAATTTCAAAGCTGTGCAGCGTCACCTTGTGTACACACGTTTGACCCCGAATCACTGCGTCAGCTGCAGCCTGCTGTCGGATGGACTGTCAAGAAAACTATTTATAACCAATTTTATAAACACGAATCTTTACATTTAAATACACTGACAGTGATTATTTTACACTGAAGGATTTGGTTTTTAAGTGTGAGCTGAACCCTCCATGACCTTACTTCACATTTACTGTCAGTACAGGCTCAGAGTCCTCCTGCAGCCTGGAGGTCCTCGTTTCTGTGCCTTTAAGCAACCGTTCCTGCACCGGATCGAAACATCAACAAGACACCAGAAGTCTCGAAACATCATTACCACAAGATGATGACGTGGACAAAACCTCTGCACTAAGTCTGAGATCTCTGAAGGCTGATTCTCCTCTACAGTAGGAGAGAGTGAGTGTGCTGGAATCAGTCAGAGCCAGTCTCTGTGTGATGACAGGCCAGTTCTACTGGGCCCCCGGCGATATTGGCAGCTCGGAGCAGATCAATGGGGATAATAGAGAGAGCCGAGAGGAACAGAAGTCGTCTGTAATTGTTGGCAAAAGCTGCTCAGGAAAATCAAAGGAGATGTCAGACTGGGGCCAAAAGGCCACGATGGATCTGTGCTGGACCTGAATCCTCCCTGAACAACAACTGCCCCTAAATCTTAACCCCGACACGGGTTTTCTCACATTTTGCTCCTATTATTTCCTCTCCAAATGCTTTGCTGGTATACATGAGAGAAGCTGTTTGGGTCTGTCCAGCAGCTAAAACAGTTCAGCATGTAGCATCGAACCCAACAGCTTGTGTTTGGCTTTTCTTAAAGCTGCGTTCATCTGAGACAGTGTCAGCTGTGACCACAGCAGTTCAACACCGCGGTTCAGGGCGTTAACCTAAAGGCATCACGACCCTCCTGACTGTAGAACAAGACGCTCAACTGCAGCAGCGCCGGATGTAAATGTGGAAAGAAATGTAAATGAATGAAGCTGTGATGGGCAGGCAGCCGACTGCAGCGTCGGCCAGCTGTTCGACTCGCAGCACAGCAGGAACATCAGCCTCATTAGCCTGCACTTTATGGACCTGGTGCTTCATGGGTTGTAAAGTTCCAGCGAACAGCCCACACGTTCATCAGGTGACGCTACCTGATGGTGAGCGCCAGCTGCCAGTGGGGCAGAGGTTGTCATTTCACTGACTCGTCATCTGTCAGCTCATCCTTATGAGCCAGTGCTTTAGTTTCCTGACTCACCTTACTGAGAAGCCGAGCTCGCCCTAACCCTCCCATTAAAACCCACCAGCAGGTCATCTGTGCAGCAGCCTATTCTGACCCAGAACAACATGTTTACGCTCAGGTAAACGGACTCGGACTTGGGCACACTCCCTGCACTTTCACACTTCGACATGTGGACTGGAGAAGCTGGGAATCGAACCGCTGACCTTCCAGTTAGGAAAGGATCTGCTCCACCTCCTGAGCCACAGCTGCTCAGCAGCAGGCCAGTGTTCTCTGGTAGCGACAGACCAGCACCAGACCAGCACCTGACCTCAGACCAGTTTTTAGTGACTTGACACATGCAAAGCAAACTTCAGTTATGGATCTGGATTAGATCAAACTGATGTGACACCGGATCCTGATGCAACAAAGTGATATGAACCCAGCACTAATCAGTGCAGCCCGAGGTGAACATAGAGTGTGTGTGTGTTGTGTTGAGACACTCTGAAAACCTCAGTAATCCTTTAAACTACACTGATCTGATATGAACAGAAGCCACATTTCTAAAGAGCCACAGAGTCAAACCAAGCTGCCGACCCCTGTACACTGCACTACTGCTCATCTGGGTTGTGTTTTATTGGACTGGTTCTTTTTCCACCTCCTATATTTATGTGTCACTCTCAGTCTAACTGATCCGATAATAGCCCAGGTCCCAGCAGACCACACAGTCTAACCTACATCGAACAGTCACTGTGACCTGACTCCAGGTCAGAGACACGTGGAGAACGCCACTGAAACAACACAGCTGCAGTCACCTCTGAAGCCAAACGGGCCCAGATTCATCCATCCTCCTGGTTTTACTTTCAACAAGTACAGCCCGTCTGTTTCACCCTGAACCATCAGGTGGCGTCCTGGCTCTCCACTGGCGTCCCATGGTGATGGGTTCGATATCGGGAGTCGCCAAGGACGACTCAGCCGAGTGCTCTGCTGGGCCAGAAGCCAGAAATCCTCCAGGTTTTAGTGGCAGTTAACAAATGGATTAACATTAAAATTAATGACGCTAGCTTGATTAATGTTGAGAAGCTGGAAGTGAGCTGAGCAGCAGCAGATATTGATTATTGATTGATATTATTGACTATTGTGACACACAAACAGCTAAAATGTTTTACATCTGAAATAAGAGATGCTCTCAGAACCTACCAGGCTGCTGGTGTATGGGTGTAAGGGCCCCTGTACAAACTGAATCTGAGTCAGCATTCTGACTGTGAGAAAAGGTCAGTGGCCCGATTCCCCCTCCGAGGCTTCCTCAGGTTATAAACGTCAAGTGTAATCCACAACACACACACGTGGTCACAACAACAACAGCAGCAACACATGAGCATTGTGTAGTAAGAAAATCAACGGCCTCAGAAATGACATCCATTCATATCCCCGGCTGACACACACACACACACACACACACACACACAGCTGCAGCTATAAAGCGTCCTGCTGCTGTTTGTGTGTTTTTACGACCAGAGAGCAGCAGTAAATCTGCAACGGCCGAACATTACACATTACACTTTACACGCAATGCACCTTTAATGGACTGTAAATTAGCTTCGATGTTGCTGTGTGCGTGCGTGTGTGTGTGTGTGATTTAATGAGGTACATTCATTCATATCTTGTCCTAAACACTGAGGGGATGCAGATTAACCCCTCGTGGACCGACTGCGTTCAGACAAACAGCCGTGCACAAACTAATGTTGTGTACAGACCATGACAGATACTCACAGTGCACTAATATAATGTAATGAGCTTACTGTTAGTGCTGTTTGACATGATGACACACAGTTACAGTGGCACTAACTTATGTTATGTGGGGGGGGGGGCTGCTAACGTTAAATAGTGGATGGTACCGTTAGCAGGCCCCTAGCTGCTTAGCAGGGAGACAGGAGAAAGTATGTCTCTTTCTCTTCATCTCTCCCTCCTCTATACATTTCCTTCACTTCCTTCCTCTCGTGTGCCCTCTCTGTTCTCTCCTCTCTCCCTCCCGATTCCCCTTTTCTCCCCCTCTCCTCCCCCGTTTCTCTGGGGACATTATCTGGAGCCACTGGGGCCGAGTCTCTGTCCGGCAGCAGGAGAACAGAGAGGAGGACGGCACGTCGAGTGGTAGCTCGACACAAAGTCAGAGG